GAGGAGGAAGAATAATGAGTAAAGAAAGGAGGATCAGTTCCCCCATAGTCCACATCATTAACCTTCACAGGTGGAGAGGGGATCTACAGTACGGGTTATTAAGAGGCCCACAACATCCTGAGACTGGATGATAGTGGGGAATAGCTCAAGATGAAAATAAAAAAAAGAAATGTAATTGCTCACACAGACCCCAAGGACAGAACGTTATTGTGTGCTTAATTAATCTTAGGTTATGTAATGGATGTAATATGCTTGTCATCCAAAGTATTCCATTGTGATTAGATGAATAGTTACATCTTTCAGCCAAATTGAATTCCTCACTCAAGTAAAACATGAATTCGAATGAAGTTGAACCGGGACTGGTAGAAAGGGTTAGGAAATGTGATTAGAGAGTAATTAAGGCATTACACATGATAAATGCTACATAAATACATGATAAATTTATTTTACTTGAATCATGTGATACAAATAGGCTATAGTATAGAATAGCAATAAGGGTTTTACAACGGAAAAAGGCACCCATGTTCTCATCAAAACCACAAAAACAGTAAATCTAAGTGTTTCTAAGCTACTATTTAATTTAAAATCTCCTAAGAAAATAGGGAGAAAATAGGGAGAAATAGGGAGAAATAGGGAGAAAAGTTTGTGTGTGGCGTGCATTACAGTTAAGGGAGTCCATTTAGTAAAAGTAGTTAGTATAAACTAAAGATGAGGTTTTTTTTTCAAAAATGTTTTAGAAATATAGGAATCAAGGCTGAAATCAACAATGGGTTAATCTGTCAACCAGTGCACTGGTTCCAAATCGTGAAAAGATTCATATTTATTTAAAATTTTATCCAAGGCTGCACAGCTTCAGCAATAGTTATTCGTACAGTTGGATTGTATTTTTCTGACACATAAATCTGCATGTGGTGCTTCTGTGAGAATGTCTGACAGAAGAACTTTGTTTTTCATTCAAATGAACAAAGTGTTCTTGCGTGGGAGAATGAATTGTAAGTTATATTTGTACCTTTCTTTGTGATTTTTTTTGTGAAAAATACATGATAGCAAATTAAATGGACAATAACTAAGGAATATTAGATCATTTTCTAAGCCATTTCAAGTACTTCTTTCTTTGTTTCTCTGTAGTTTGCATTGTTTTTTGGGTTTCAGGCTGGGCTGAAAAGATTGAAGGAAGCAGGGGTGCCATATTTACTTCTCCTGTTTCTGAACAGAGTTTCAGCAGGTTTAAACCAGAAATCAATCAGATCAGACAAATTCTGAACGTAGTGGCACTAACGCTCCCAAGGGGTGTGAAGTACCTAGACAAATGAGGCATCAAAAAGTGGGTATTGCTGTCCTTTTTCCACAGAATGTGGCTATCACCATGCTCTGCCCAGTGCCCTGAACTCTGCCCACTGCTTTCTGTCAAATGGATCCAGAGGGCATTGAAGTCTGACTAGCTAATAGCCAATATCTACACAGGTAAGGGCGGACCTAACTACCCATCATGCTCCAAGCCTGTCCACGTGGGAATCAGAATCAGAATCAGAAATACTTTAATAATCCCTGTCACGTCTGGGGGAATGTGTGGTGTCTCGTCTTGTCTTGATTACCAATTGTGTACACCTGGGGTTCCCCTCCCTCATGTGTTTAAATAGTCCTCGTTTCCCCTTGTCTTGTGCGAGTGCGTTTTCGTTCGTTTCGTCCTTTCGTCCTTTCGTCCTTCTTGTTTCGTCGTCTGTCTTTCGTCACCCCCACGCCAGGTTTGCTTTTGCCATATTCTTTTACTTTGTTCCATAGTCATAGTTTTGCCACAGTCTTGTTGTTCTTTATTTTGTTACTTTGCCATGGTCATTGTTTTACCACAGCCTTGTCACAGTTTTGTTAATCTTTATTTTGTTACTTTGCCACAGTCTTGTTTACTTATTGCTTTGATACTTTGCTCACAGTTTTCCACAGCCTTGATTTGTACTTTGTCTGGACATTCACTCATCCATGAGTGTTTTTTGTTAAAATAAACCTTGTTTTCCGTCATCTCCGCACCTGAGTCCTCCCCTCAAGACCCAACCATCCCTGACAATCCCAAAGCGAAATAGGGAAATAGGGCATCTTTAAAAAAAAAAAAATAAAAAAAATAAAAAAACAGGTTTTTTCCCCCCCATCACCATTAATGATGTACACCAGATGTTTTTCCCTCCCCCCCATAAAACATTTTCCTCTTTGGAACCAGTCCATCTTAAATGATTTCAAGTCTATGTAATATGTGTCTGGGCCTTGTATTCAAATGTTTCTAGTGTTTACCTTATTTCCAAATGTAATTAAAAAAAAGGCTAGGCCTCTATCTCAATTAGAAGAAGACTTGGGAACCGGTGGAACTACATTTTGGACTAGGCTATTTGTGGAGGACAGGGTGTATGAAGCAGATTTAAGTAAACCAGGATGGCTGAGGGAACAGATGAAGCTTCTAGATGAAGCTATAAAAGCGATCCATTAAAAAAAAGAAACACCTCGGTGATAATTTCCCAGCAGTGCAAGAAATTCCCTCATTCCTAAAAGGTAATATAACAGAGAGCCATTCATTTTAGTCAGCCAACAGTGTTTTAAACCCATTAGAAATGGAAACATTACTAAGAAAATATCACAATCCCATTAATATCACTTGGAGCATATTGCTGGATGTGAATATAAATAATGAGACAAATGTAATAACATGGATCCATCACTGAAAGTAGCTTTATGTTCTCAACTTTGAATAATTCCTGATTACATCAGTGAGGTAGGAGGAAGTCCAACTTTTTCTATATGTTTACATCCAAAATTCTATAAAAATCATCCTTACCTCTTTCATTTGGCGGTGCAACATAAATGAAACTCCTGCAGTTCTCACCTGCAGAAGAATGGAAATGAGACATTTAATTGACACCTGAGGGACAGAGGTTAGAATGTAACAATCTGATAAGTTCATTTGTATTCCGTCGACTGTTGTTGAGGGCCGAGGGTCTCTGAGAGCTGCTGTTCAGAATTAAATCCCAGTTTGTTTCCATATGTAAAGGCATTTTCTTATTAAGTTTGCACAGTCTCTACATTCCTCCCTCCAGTGAGAATATTCTGAGAGGTCTTTTTTTTTGCCATCAACACAAAATATGATTTTATGTCAACCACAATCTTCAGCCTCGGGTATTTTTGACTTGCAGCAGAAAGCGGGCTGTTCTTTGGATGCCTTATCTGCAAATGGGCTGTAAATCAAATGGGCAGGTACCACACACACACACACACACACACACACACACACAGACTCACACACACAGACTCACGCCCACAACAAGGAATCCTTAAATGTCACCCACACTGCGCCTGTAACCTTGCTGTTATGGAGGCGTTAAAACCAAGGCGCGAGGATTCTTCCAAGATAACGACTCACATTTGGCCAGTTGGAGTCAGTTTTTCATGTGCTTTCACACATGATGTATTACTCACAGATTTCAGGGCTTTTTATCAGTGGCTAACCAAAGTTTGGGCTCGAACATTTCTGGGATTACCATAAAAAAAGCAACACTGAGCGGCAGATTTAAAGTTTTGTGTCATTTTTTTGATGTTTAGTTACTGTAAAACTGGTCAGTATTGAAAGCAAAAGCTAAACTTAGTTAAAACACACACACGTACAGTGGGGGAAATAAGTAGTTGACCCCTTGGTGATTTTGCAGGTTTGCCCACTTACAAAGAATGCTTATTTTTCCTTCATCAGATGGTTATCAATTTTTATAAATTCATATGATGTGATTTTCTGGAATTTTCTTTGGGATTCTGTCTCTCACTGTTAGAATGTACATATGATTAAAGTTATAGATCGTTGCATTCTTTGTAAGTGGGCAAACCTGCAAAATCAGCAAGGGGGTCAAATACTTATTTAACCCACTGTACGTGCTTACAACCCCAACTTATTCCAGTGGTTAAAAGAGAAGCGCGCCTCTGTCCGTGCGCAACGCGGCGCGCACCGTCCCTCAGCCCGGTGCCCCATCCCGGTGCCTCAGCCCGGTGCCTCCGGTGCAAACCTACCGGTCATGTTGATGTTCTGCTCGCAGGAGAACCAGATCCCGGTGTGGAACTTCCTCATCACGTACTTGTCCTCGCCCGTCTCCCAGATGTACTGGACCAGGCGCGTGTCGTTGATGTTGGAGCTGTTGAACATGATGCAGAACGCCTGCCTGGTGGTGACCACGCCGGTGCAGAAGGGTTTCACCACCTTGCGCGTGCCCTCGCACCAGTAGCTGGTGGTCAGCGCCGACACGGCCAGGAACAGGGCGAGGAAGTTCAGGGTGAGAGCCAGAGAGGCTCTCCGCCGCCGGTCGATCCCCATCACAGCAGTCCGGAGGAGAGGGAGAGTCTAATTTAACCCCCCCGCCACCCGGTGCCCGTGTGAGGCAGGATCCAGGCGACTAGTCCCGCTCAGGTCCTCATAATCCGGCCGGTCCGGTGGTATTTCCGCGTAAAAAGCTCCGGTGGTGCGCCCCGCACATCTGCGCCTTCACTGCAGCTCCCTGTCACATTTTATAGCCCCGCTCCTCCTCCGCGTGCACTCCACCCTCTCACTCAACGCGCACACGCGCATTACCACACCTCTTCTGCCTCTTTGAGGAGGGGAGAGCGGAGCTCCACGGAGCCTTCCGAAAAATAACGCGTAGTTTCATACTCAGTCATTGGCCATTTTACAGTGTCTCCATCTGTACATTTTATTGTGTAAGAAGACAAAGCAGTCTCAAATCAACCAACGGCTCTTGTTCTGCAGAATAAAAAAAAGAAGAGGCATATTTGGGTCACTGTGAATGGTTTGTGCGGCAGGAATTTGCCCCCATTTGCGTAAAATATGTCTTACTCTTAAAAGGGTCATTCCTTCATTCATAGACTGGCATTCCTGTAATTTAGTCATTCCAAATGTGAAAAAGAGTGTGTTTGTAATATTACATTTCCAGAGGATCAAACTGATCACACAGGTGCAATAAAAAAAAGTGTACTTTTAATCATAAATGGGATTTTTTCTGACTTTTTCTGATCAGGCAGTTACAGAAGAATTTTGGCCAGGTGTTGTCAAAAACAGTTATAGCTGTGTCAGAGCAGTGTCTCATGGTTGTGTCAAGTTTGACCCATTTCAATATAATTTAATATATATATACATTTAATATGTAATATTTGTATTTGAATTTAATGGCGATGGAGAGCAGGAGTGGAAAACATCATACTCATGTCAGGTAAGGGCTACAGTCTACAGACTATATGATTTAATATCCAAAGGGTCAGATCAATTAAATCAAAGTGTAATTACTCATGAATGAAAACATCTCACTAATAATTCCGTGTTCATTTAATGAATCGGCCCTTTAACAGGAAACCAGGAACAACCTGCTGTGTCTTTTAGAGAAAGAAACAAAATGCCATCTGAAAGTATCCGGTTTTCTGCACAATAGAACTGATTATATATATATTTTTTTTCCATATGTTTTAATTGAATGAGTGGACATGGCTTTATTTTGCCTGGCAGTTCCTTTCCAATGGAGTCAAACTGGTAAAAAAAAAAAACATAAGCGGTTTTCTTGCTGATAAGATCTAATCAGGAAATGTTTTAGAAATCCAAGGTTAGATTTAGCAACAAGATTAGCATCAATTTTACTGCGTACGTTTTTTCATTCTGAATGCGCTTGTTGACCATCCACAAATGCTTCCAATAATATTTGTTAAACAGACAAAATTTCAAGAGCGTATCCTCCAAAGATGGAGATAAAAAAGGGCTATTATCTAACTACTTCCTGAAGCCTGGCAGCTCTTGTAAAGGAGACTGAAAGAACTGGATTAATAGCACCATCACACAACAGACCACATGAAGTTAGTTAAAGACATAATGCAGAAAGCTTGTTATTTAGTCTTTATCCTGATCCATGCCAAACCAGCCAATCCGATTGGTGACTCAGTGCTCTGGCTCAATGGCATGAATGGTCCCGACTCCCACTCTGGTGGTTTGGTTTGCCTCACAATGATCCTGATGCAATATATAACCACATATCCTATAATCTTTACAGTTCACAGCTTTTTATTCGGCTTTGAACCTGACTTTGCTGCCTTTTTTTCAGTCCTGAGCAGTGCACAAGGAACCCTTGATGCTATGGTTGGTTGTGGTGGTACTCCTGTGTCTGTGTTAGCATTCATTGCATATAAACAATTCAACAAATGATTTGTTTCTTTGTCTTCTCTTCTCTCTTATGGTTACCCCATATCCCCTAATGGGGGAGAACTGAAGAACACTATCCCAGTGGTCAACGGGCGAGAGGCGGGGTACACCCTGGACAGTCTTCCAGTCCACATGACACACAAGGACCAACAACCTCAACCACATACTCATATTCACTCATAAGGGCAGTTTGGAGTCCAACCAACCTAACATGCAGGTTTTTGGACGGTGGGAGGAAGCCGGAGAACCCGGAGAGAACCCACAGACACAGGAGAACATGCAGACTCCACCCAGAAAGGTCCTGGTTCCCCCGGG